GATTTTTTGAGGTAGATTTTTCTTGATCACTGTTATTTGCTGTATGCAAAGCTGAAATGGCTACTAGTTTGACTACTTGGAGTAAGTGAGTTAACATTAGAGGAAACCAGAGGTGTATATTTCAAAGGCACAGCGCCGCACGATTTACAATGAAAGAGGGGGCCAGAAAACATGACTATCAAATATCCCTTTTTATTACATGGTGCACATTCTTTCATTGCATTACTTTAAAGTTTGACATATTTTAAGAAGTATTTTTGTGCAGCATACATTTTTCATGGATTAAAAGGCACCTTTTCTGAAAGATTTCCATGGCGACGGCCTGCTGGGAAATATATTACTTATAATTCCTGACCATGTACTATTTATAGAAAATTTGCAAGAACCTGTTAGCAATGTGTGGGAACCGGCAAGTGAACATTTTGTCCTCAAAGTTGGTGTGTAAAATGGGCAATGGTAAGGTTTGACAGGTTTGACCTGTGATGGCGAGACAACTGGTTAGCAGCGTCTTCAGCATCTCCAAAACCGCAGCTCTTGTGGGGTGTTCCCGGTTTGCAGTGTTTCCATATTTTCCAAAAATGGTTCAAGGAAGGAACAGTGGTGAACCAGCAACAGGGTCGTATTGCGTATTGGGCTGCATAGCTGCAGATCTATCAGGGTGCCCGTGCTGATCCATGATGGATATGTGAGTATCAGACCTAGACCATGGACCAATGAAAGAACGTAGCTTGGTCTGATGAATCATCTTTTCTTTTACATCATGTGGATGGCCGCATGTGTCTGTTTCGCTTACCAGGAGGACACCGGCCACCAAGATGCATTATGGGAGGAAGGCAAGCCAATGTGATGCTTTGGGGAATGTTCTGCTGGGAAACCTTGGTCCTGCTGTCCTGGCAGCAAAATTGAGGCCAACACAACATAATGCAGGTGGTCATATTGTTTTTTTCTGAGTGTCATATATCATAACTGATTGTGTTCAAGGTAAATTTGTTTTGAGGATCTCCTTAGGTTATAGCAGAGCTTCCCAAAGTGTGGGGTCCGCCCCGTAGGGGGGGCGCAGAGCCATTGCAGGGAGAGCGTGGTATGAAAAGGGGGAAAAAAACGCTTGGACACTGCTAGCACAGGGCATCCACACAAATGCAAAGCAGGAGATGAAGCATAGCTGAATATGTTTCCAAACCAACTTCATTCTAAGCCAAAGACTAGAAAATATGATGAAGCATATCTTCCCTTTGGTTTCACCTGCACAAGTGCCAAGGTAGGTCTCCCCTGCATAATTGGTTTTCCCTTCGCCGGGAGCAGTGCTGGGCTCTCCAAATCACGGACAAACAGTATCCCACATTCTTGATTTTTAGTTCACAAACACTTCTTGTAATGACTAACTACTCCTGACATTTTGGAGATTTTAGCTTTTTATACAGTAAAGTTACAGCAGGATACAAATAATATCAGGCTGATCCTGCCACGATTTGTTTCCCCGGTTCAAATCACGGACAAACAGTATCTCACAGCAGTTTATGTTTTTGAACCCATTTTGTACAGAGAGGCATTTTTTGAAAAATGTATTGATAGCAATGTTGAATATTATTACACAGGAAAAAAACAACTACGCGTAAAATAATTACACCATGACGCCTCTGCCTTTGTAAATGGAGGGACAGTAACTGTGTGTGTATATATAAGCGTGTAAAACCTGAAGATAGTCAGATTAACAGTAACAGTATTTTGTCTCTATCTGCAATTCTGCAGGGGGGGGGCATTTTTCTTGTAAAACAAAGGGGGCTCTAGCAAAAAAACTTTGGGAACCAC